GGGGGGCTGCAGCTTCAGGTTTAGCAGTTATTATTGATTCAGGAATACTGAAGCATTATGTTTGCTTTATTCGTCTCCCGTGAGTTCAGAGCAGGGTTCAGTCCTTCAGGATAAACAGTCGTCTGAAGAGTTTTTGGACCTGGTCCTTCCCCGTGTCCTCATGGCCCCCCACTGAACGCTGAAACCAGATCTTTGACGCTGCTGGCTGTACGTGGTGTTTCCTCGTCCTCCTTCTTCTTCTTCCTCATCTTTCTTGGGTTGGCATTGAGACTCTTGGAGCGCAGCGTCGGATACATCTGGTCCTCCCCTACCAGCAGCTCCTCCTCCTCCTCCTCTGCATTATTATTCTGACCCTCCTGTTCGTGGCTTTGCAGCTTGCTCTCATCTAGTTCCTCTTTGGATTCCTTGCTGGTCAACTCAGTGGCCCAATTCTGGTCCTGCTGGCCGGGGCTATAGATGATGTTGCTGACATACTTCTTGTTGGAGGATGGAGAGCTGCTGAGGGTTGGAGAGGATAAATACTGTGTGACCTTTGACCTCTCCAGAGGGAAGGACACAGCCGCCTCCAGTCGGCCCTTCTCTATGGGTTTATCTTTGGAGCAGATCTTGGGGGATTTGATGTCTGGGTCACAGGGAGAGATGAGGATGTCCACGTTTGAAAGAGACTGAGTGTCCTTAAGTCCTTGTACCTCCAGAGCTGAGCAGAAGTCTTTCAATTCACCTAAAAAGAGAAGTTCAAACAGAGGATAACTGTTTACCTTCATTCTTCTGATATAATGCGTCCAATAAAGACTCATCTCCTGTCCTACCTGTTTTGGTTCTTCCCTCGCTGTTCCCACCTTGCCTCTCTGGACTCTGCTGGACCCTCTTGTCATTTCCCTCCATGTCTCCGAAAACCGACGTCCTGTCGTCGTGCTCCAGCTGGTATCTGTACAGACTGTACCCGTCAACGCTGTTGATGCTGCCTTGGCGCAGCAGAGTGCCCGGCTCACACACGGACGATCCTCTGGAGTGCGTGCGGACGAGCTCAGCTCGGTCGACGCCCGCCAGCTTCTCCAGAGCGTTCATCATTCGGTTAGAGAACTCCTCCAGCTGAGCCAGGCGGAGGTCGACCGTCTGCAGGGATGCCTTCATCGAGTGTTCCCTTTCATTTACCTCCTCCAGACGCATGAACATGTTCTCCACCCTGAACACACGACATGAGTACTCAGGGCTGTGATGGCAACAAGTTGTAAGTTATGCTGTCTCGCTTAAGTTTCAGTTGCCGGGTAAATCATTACATTTTTGTTTGTTTATTTTTCACATTTAACAGCATTTTAGGTATGTTTTATTCAGTTCTTAACGTATGTATTTTGGATTCTGGCAGTTTTGGTCCTCCACAGATTGCACGCTGAGACGAACACGAACCTTTCAGACGTGACTCTTATTCGCTCGTTGTTAGACGACTGCTTCTCGTCGTCCTTCTCTCTGAAGTATTCCTCCACACACTGTTCCTCAAACTCATGCAGGCTCTTCAGCTCATCTGCATTCAACACCAGCTCTGAGGGAACACAGCGTTTTAAACTCGGCACACAAACACACGTGACTGCAATGTCGGCCTCAGACTGGTGGTTCTGATAGCTCGAGAAATACCAGGATTATGCTCATACTGAGCCTTTAACCTACTTTAGCTTCTGTTAGT